GAGGTTATCACGGAGATTCAGTGTGAGTGTTTCTTTCTTATTTGTTGTTGTTGTTGGTGGTATGTTGGTGTGTTGTGCTGATGTGGACTGGACTCGACATATGTACAGTCCCACACCAGGAGCACTGGTGCTGGTCGGGACGGAATGCCAAGGGGAAACGGGGCCTGCTTCCACAGGCGTTTCTCCAGCCGAACTCGTTGCGAGAGTCGTCGGAGTTGGGGGCTGGTAGTGGATCGGCCAGCGCGGGCGGGGGTAGCATCAGGGGGTGGAAAGGGAGGAAAGGCCGAAGTGGAACGGGGACAGCGGCGTCGCTTCTGCTTTCAGGGGTTGCCGAGGAGAGCATGCGCTGGAAGCGGCCATCTCGGGGCAATTATTACTGAGGGGTAAGGTGAATATGCAAAGTAGTGCTGGAGTCTGGGGAGTCTAGGCCCAAGGCTAGGGAAATGAGTTGACCGAGGCAGTTGTGTCGTATTGCAAATGCAGTACTGTAATTCTCGTCCTGGGAGCTTCAGTCGCCAGACTTTCCAGTCTCATCGCCTGACATCGGGGCCAAGGCGGGTTCGCCCCGGGCTCACCACGTGCTCACATGGGCCGACTTTCGGGGCCTTCAATTGGCGAATGTCCACTTCACATTGGTCCTTGCGCCAGGCGCGATGGAGCTTTAAGTTGATTGTCTATCGTTCTCTGTGTATTGCGGCAGGTGCTACTTCATTTTCCGTATTGAAACAACAAGAACGAATCCTCCGTCTTTCTGTCCCCAGCGATTCTCCCATTTTACTCAACAACACCTGCTCTTGAATTCAGGCAGACCGCCCTGCGCAGGAACCTTCTCTCTCACACGTCATCCCATCTGGGGCCCGACCTGTAAATAACCCACAGCTAAGATGGCGTTGACAGGCGCCGACGTCGCAAAGCATAGCAAAGCTGATGACTGCTGGGTGATTGTCCATGTGCGTCCACGCCCCTCCCCGCGCCCGAACGGACGCCGTACTCACCAATCTGCCAGGGGAAAGCATATGATGTCACGGAGTTTCTCCCAGGTTTGTGCCATTGCGCGCGGCGCAAGTCGCGGCACCCGCTGACATGACATTGCGCAGAACACCCCGGAGGCAGCAAGATCATTGTCAAATATGCGGTTGGTCCACCCACACCCGCACCCACCTCGATTGCCCAAGATGGGCAGCTGACGCGCGCGCAGGGCAAAGATGCGACGGAAGAGTTCGAGCCCATCCACCCGCCCGACACGCTCGACAAGTACCTGCCCAAGTCAAAACACCTGGGCCCGGTGGACATGAGCACGGTGGCCAAGGAAAAGACGGAGGAGTCGCCCGATGAGATTGAGCGGCAGAAGCGCATCCAGGAGATGCCGCTGCTCGAGCAGTGCTACAACCTGCTGGACTTTGAGGCCGTCGCGCGGAGAGTCATGAAGAAGACGGCGTGGGGATACTACTCGAGCGCGGCAGACGATGAGATTGTAAGCCGGCCGGCCCCTTTGCGCGCCAGCTGCCCGCTGACTGACGACGTGCTCCAGACACTGCGCGAGAACCGCTCGGCCTTCCAACGCATGTGGTTCCGCCCGCGCATCCTCGTCAACGTCGAGAAGGTCGACTTCTCGACCACCATGCTCGGCACCCCGACCTCGATTCCCTTTTACGTCACCGCCACAGCGCTCGGCAAGCTCGGCCACCCCGAGGGCGAGGTGGTGCTCACGCGCGCGTCGCAGAAACACGACGTGATCCAGATGATCCCGACCCTCGCGTCGTGCTCCTTCGACGAGATCATCGACGCCGCGGGCCCCGGCCAGGTGCAGTGGCTCCAGCTGTACGTCAACAAGGACCGGGCCATCACGCAGCGCATCGTGCAGCACGCCGAGCGGCGCGGGTGCCGGGGGCTGTTCATCACGGTCGACGCGCCGCAGCTCGGGCGGCGCGAGAAGGACATGCGCACCAAGTTCACCGAGCAGGGCAGCAACATCCAGGACGGCCAGGTGACGGACAATTCGCAGGGCGCGGCGCGCGCCATCAGCAGCTTCATCGACCCGGCCCTGAGCTGGGCCGACATCCCGTGGTTCCAGTCCATCACCAAGATGCCCATCGTGCTCAAGGGCGTGCAGCGCGTCGAGGACGTGCTCAAGGCCGTCGAGGCCGGCGTCCAGGGCGTGGTGCTGTCCAACCACGGCGGCCGCCAGCTCGAGTTCTCGCGCTCCGCCATCGAGGTGCTCGCCGAGACGATGCCCGTGCTGCGCGAGCAGGGGCTCGACGGCAAGATCGAGGTCTACGTCGACGGCGGCGTGCGCCGCGCCACCGACATCCTCAAGGCCCTGTGTCTGGGCGCCAAGGGCGTCGGCATCGGCCGCCCGTTCCTGTACGCCATGTCGGCCTACGGGCTCGACGGCGTCGACCGCGCCATGCAGCTGCTCAAGGACGAGATGGAGATGGGCATGCGCCTGATCGGCGCGACGAACATCGCGGAGCTGACCCCCGCGCTGGTGGACTCGCGGGGCCTGTTCAGCCACGCCGCGCCGCCGTCGGACAATCTGGCGTCGGCGGTGTATGATCCGCTGGTCAACCCCGGACAGCGGGTTGGCGTGGCGCAGGCGAAGTCGCGGTTGTAGATTTGGAAAGGAGGGGGGTTTTTGGAGGGGTTACTTAGAGGGGCGGCATGGCGCAATCTTCATGTCCTTTTTTTCGGTTGGATAGCGGCTGGTCGGCGGAGGAGTTTGTTTATGTTTGCTTCCATCCCAGGCCCATACTTTCCCGGGTGTTGACAGAGTCTCCCACAATAGATACAAAGCCTTTCCTTTGCATACCCTGGAGAATGACGGCGCGTCCTGCCTGCCTCGGAGGGAAAGCCGCCAAGTCCTGGTGCCTTCGGCGCGGTTTTATGACGTCATTCTCACCAGTGCACCTCCCTCCATGGTCGGTCACGAGGCGCCAAATCAAAGCCTCGATTTCTCCCACGATCCTACCCTGAGGTGTGTTCCCTGCGCAGCCTCGCCGCGCAAAACCGACTTGTGTCCCCCACAACACCCGCGCGCCGACACGCGCAATCGCAACGGTCCAGCCAGCGGGCACGACCAGCGCCGCAGGCACCCATTTGGCACATGTGCCTGCATTGACAAGACCCAAATCGCGCAACCCGCCATGTCGTCGTCGCTCGAGGCCAAGATTGTCGTGCTGGGGGCGCAGGGCGTCGGCAAGACGTCGCTGCTGATGCGCTACTGCAAGGGCGCCTTTGAGCCCTCGCAGATCACGTCGACCGTCGGCGCCAGCTTCCTGACCAAGCGCGTCGTCGACGCCGACACCGACACCCTCGTGCGCCTGCAGATCTGGGACACCGGTATGCAACCACCCGCGTTGCCTCTCTCTCTCCCTCCCTCTCTCCCTCCCTCCCTCCCCCCCCCCAACCCCAACCCCAACCCCAACCCAACAAACCCCAACCCTAACCACCACCCCAACCGCAGCCGGCCAGGAACGCTTCCGCTCCATCTCGCGCCTCTACTACCGCGGCGCCAACGCCTGCATCCTCTGCTACTCCATCACCGACGCCCGCTCCTTCGCCGAGATGGGCGTCTGGCTGACCGAGCTGCGCCGCAACCTGCCGCCCGACATCGTGCTGCACGTCGTCGGCACCAAGGCCGACCTCGTCGCGCGCGACCCGGCCCGCCGCGAGGTCCCCTTCGAGCGCTGCATCGCCTACGTCGCCGAGAATCTGAACCCCGGCATGGGGAGCACGCCGCCGCCGACGGCGGGCGCGGGTGGGAATGGGAGTGGGAATGGGAGTGGGAATGGAAGTGGGAGTGGGAGTGGGAGTGGTGGTGGGCTGGGGGGGTTTTTGAGTCTGGATCCGCGGCATTCGCAGTACTCGCTTTTTTCGTCTGGGGGAGGAGCCGGAGCCGGAGGGGAGCCGCGGAGTCCGAGCAGCAAGCGCAGCTCGGGGTTCTGGGGCCAGGAGGTCGGGTGGGACGCGTGCCACGAGATCTCGGCCGAGTCCGGCGAGGGCGTCGAGGAGGTGTTCCGCGTCGTCACGCGGAAGCTGGTCGAGCAGAACCGCAAGATGCAGGCCGCGCTGCTGGCCGCCACGGGGTCGACGCCCGACGGCGCCGGCGGCTATCTGACCCCGGCCGGCGCCGCGGGGGATGGGGGGGATGGCCCCGGGAGCGGCTACGGAAGCGGTGTGGCGGGGGGGTACTTTGAGGGCGGCAATCCGCGTGGGGGCAGTTTCAGGGTTGGGCGGGATCGGAGGAGCTGGCTGTTCTCGCCCAGTTTCTCACCGGCGATGGGGGCTCCCGAGGAGACGGTCGATGGGGAGCACGGGCCGGACCGGAGCCGGAGGGGCCAGCGGAGGTGTTGTTGATGGGCCCTGTCGTAAGTAAGGAGGAAGAGACGGATGGATGTGCTGCCTCATGATACCCATGATCAACCGGCTCGGTCGATCACATTGTTTCTGCACGCTGGAAGTGTTGGGGTTTACAGCGGGTTGGCCGCTGCACACGGCCTAATGCCAGGATGGATTAACGGCGGCGCTATTTCGTTTCTGGGTTGCCTTGTAGCACATGTCTGGTACTATGTGACGACGGGTGTTGGGGGGCGTTTCGGGACAACTGTATTGTGGCAGCATTGGGTTCTACACGGCGGCGCGGGCTTTTTCATGTGATGATGGTACGACAAGTGACACGACTGAGATGGGACAAAGTGTCTGGGACAAAAATACCCGTACTCGATGGCGGGGCCGTATTGTACGTGCTCGTCCCTGACGGTACTGACCATTGCGTGTCTGGAACCAGCCCTGCATTGGGAAAGAATGGTGAACTACATAGACTCCTGGATTAGGGACTGACTGGATGAAGCTGTCTGCATAGCTGGAAGTTGAGCTGGGTTGTACAATGTACAGTCCGAGTGTCCAAAAAAACAGTAGCGGGGATGCATCCACATTCACCAAATGAAGCCAAACGCAAAAGGAAAAAAAGAACAGCAGGGAGAGAAAAATGAAAAACGAAATGCCCAGTAACAGGATTGAACTGTTGACCTTCGCATTACTCAATATAGCGGGATGGCAATATTAGTACGACGCTCTAACCAGCTGAGCTAACCGGGCTGATGATTGTTGAACAAATTAATGGAAACCTCAGCTCAAGGATGGCACACAATGCAACCCCTGAGCATTTTCCAACCCCTTCTGCAACAACATCTACCAACTGCAAGGAGCCCACCGGGAGGGTTTCCCCTCCATCAGTTCCATTATCATGAGACAGTATGCGGTATCAATTAATCTCTTGGTGAGAGTGGACAGTGTTTTCATCTTCATTACGACTATGTAGCATGTCGAGACCCGCAGCCAGCTAAGTTAACCAAAATTGAGAAATGTTAATACAGCATTCAACCAAACCATCCTATATCACCGTTCCATGAACCTTGCCGGAGATGCAAAAGCAAACACAAAACACAAAACACAGGTGGGCCCCAGAACCCAAACCAAATCCAGCCCAACCCACCACACCCCTCACAGCTGATCCATAACCATCCCATCAAACCCATCCATGAACCCTCCCAGGTCGCCCACGTCAAAATCCATATGCTGCAGCACATCGCCCAGCTCCCCGCCCATAGCCCCCGACAAACCCATATCCACCGGGGCCACATTACCACCAAACGGCAGCCCCTCCTCCACACTTAAGCCCAACCGCTCACGCATCATCTTCCGAAACTCCCCCAGCAGCACCCCATCATCGGCCGGCGTGCTCCCGCTCCGCAGAAACACCCGCGCCCGCTCCCGAATCGCCTCACCCGACGGGAACCCCGCCTCCCCGCCGCCCAGCAGCACCTCGCCCGTCACAAACTCCACCAACTCCCGCTCCAGCTCCCTCGAGCAAAACACGCTCGGCGGCGGCAGCTGCACCGCACCGTCGGCCGACGGGTTGCTGCCGCTGTTGTTGTCGTCGCGGGGATCCGTCTGGGGGAGGAGGCCCGAGGGATCCATTTGCGTCGCCTTGTGCGGGTTGGGAAACAGATATGGCGGGGCAAAGCCCGAGCCGCCTTGCTCGAGAGTCCACGGCGCGCCGCGGGGCAGGCCTGGTAGGGAAGGGTCGGTCAGCAGGCCGACGTCGCGCTTGAAGCGGCGGAGCCATTCGGCGTTGTCGGCAGATGTTTGGTTCCAGGGGTCGTCGCTGGACCAGGGGTTAGTGTTTGGGGAACAATGGGAGAGCGAGGGGCTGGGGTGGGAGCTTACTCCTCGTAGATGATCCACCGCGCTTGGTGCTGGAGCTCTTGGTCGCTGGGAATATGGCAGTTGGGGTTGTTCGGTGACATGGTTGAGGCCACCCATTTCTTCAGCTCACGCGCCAGGCGCTGGTAGCAGTTGGTATCGCTCATGTAGTAACGGCCGGTCGTCTGCGAGGGGCTTGCGCTTCGGACTCCGATAGAGAAGCCGGCAGAATGGGAAGATTGCGTGGCGCCGCCAGAAGAGCGCCTGTCCGGCGTGGAATTGGGTTGCGGCATCGGAGGCCACACACCCCCGTCAGAGGCCATATGGGCCATTGGCAACGGGGCGTTGTCATTGACGGACATGGAGGCCGGACTGCCCCCCAAAACGTGGCGCTGCTTAAAGGCTAGCAGCCAAAGAGGGTCGTCGGCGGCAGTTTGATTCCAGCCGTCATCGTATTCGTAGATGATGATACGAGCCTGACTCTGCAAATACGCGTCGGAGGGTTGAATACCTAGCGACAACTGTCCTCGCACATGTTCGGCTAGTTCCAACTCCAAGCGACTAGGGTTGTGAATAGTCGAGTCAATCGTAGTAGGGTCTGTGGATCGCTTGCCCTCGTCTCTCATGTCTTCAGAGCGCGGCAGGTGTGCCCTTTGCCGGAAGCTCGCAAGCCATTTCGTCGAGCTGCTCGCGAGGCGAGTCAAGAATTGCGTAACTTCGTCAGATGGATCGTTGGATACTTCATCCATGCGTCGGATGATGTTGCATGCCACGGTTTGCAGCTCGCTGTCCATGGCGGTCAGGCCGAGCAAACGGCGTGCCTTGACATACTCGTTGAGTTCGATCTCCAAGGGGTCCAGTTCGAAGATGTTGCGCTTCCCATTGATCTCGAGCTGCTGCCGGTGGCTGACACCTCCGAGTTGGGTCCATTTCGCCTCCGCTGCCAGACGTTCGGATGAGAATAGCAGATCGCGCAGCCAGGACGGCGCCGAAACAGCAGTCTCGGAGACCTTTTCGGCAGCATACACTAACGCACATGCAGCGCGCTGAAAATCCTCATCCGTGGGTACTTTCCCCTCTTTCTCACGCCAGTCATCCATGTAAGACATCAGTTCCGTCTTGATGAGCTCAAGCGCATGTCGTGCTGATGAGGACGAGGGCCGGGACGCTTCGTACGGGTCAGGCGAATTTCTCTCGTCGTGAATAAGATCTTTGAAAGGTTAGCAATCTTGGCCAGCCACCATCGGGGATCCGGAATGAGCATACAGGGCGGGATCGAATTCTCGACCACGTCGAGCACAGGAGCTTCAAAACCCCAGCCACCCTTCCAGTCAGCCATGCTCTTGCCCTTTTTGAAGTGCTCAGCGAGATGGTCGGTACGGATTGACCAGCTATCCAAGACGACGTCGCAGAAGCCGCAGCGGGATCGTATCTCGGGCGTCGTCGTCTTCCACTGTTCCATTGACCAACCCAGCAGCTTGGTATTGTGGACTAGTTTCAGATGCTGACGCAAATGGTCCTTGCGATAGAAAGAGCGCTCCGGGGCCGTCCGTTCCTGGCAGGCCGCGTAGTTGTGGCTATCAATGTGTGCCTCGTTCGGGTTCGCTTGCCCGCAAAAGACGCACGACATCTGGCCATTCTCTGGGTTGAAGGCCTTCGCGCCATTCGGCGAGCACACCCACCGCTCAAGAGACAAGTGCAGCGATTTCTCGTGTCTTTGCCAGTCGTGCTTCGTTCGGAACGTTTCGGTACAGAAAGTACACTGAAAGGTCTTGGGGGCCCCGCTCGGTGGTTTCGCGGCGGCGGGCAGGGCCTTTCTCCTCCTTCGCCTTCGTCCACGGCCAAACGACCCTTGAGAGCCCAGAGAGCCCAGAGAGCCAAACGAATAGACCGATGCGCTCGAGTGCGAGTGCGACGTATTGGCGCTGCTGACGGTGGAAGTGCAGAGTGATTTCCCAGAGCCATCGTCTGTGAAGTTGAGGCTGTAGGGACTGTTCAAGCCAGACGAGATGCCCGACCCAGAAGCGTTGACAGCACGGACAATAGCCGTCACGGAGGCGGGTTCGTTTTCTGGCGGGGAGTGTTGCCAGCGCTGCAGCGGGTTCATGTGCTCGATCAACGCGGATCCCCGTCTCTTTGGGATGTCAATTGGGTTTGCGAAGCTCCGTACTCCAGGCGATGTCGACCGATGCCCGACGGCATTCTTGTTCCTCCGCCGGGTGTTGGCGAGCCAGTTTGTTATTTGGGTCTTGCTGAGTCCCGTCTGTTTCTGGAGTACCTCCTTCTCCTCGTCATTGGGATAGGGATGCTTGCTGTGGGTTGACAGCCAGTTCTTCAAGATCTTGACCGATTCTCGCGAGAAACGGACGCCGGCCTTGGCCTTCGCGGCCTCGCTGGCACTCGTGATGTCACGGCCGGGGGCTGAAGTCGGCTCGGCGGGATCTGGGGCTGAGCTAGAGTGATGGTCATGACCCGAGCAGTGCATGTCCTCCTGGATGACGGCGGCAGGATGGGGCCCCATGGCGGACCAGGGGTTAGCCGGGAAAGCCGAAGCCATGCCGAAGCTGCATGCACAGCGCAGGGCGACGCAGCTCGTACAATGACCCTTGTATTCACCTTCGGGAATGCGCTTGCACTGGTAGCCACCCAGTTGGCAGTTGACACAGGGTGCCTCGAACAGTTCCAGATGGTCCTCAAACCGCCTGGTAGACCGGTCAGTCGGCATGGGGATCTCGTCCGACTGGCCCATGGTGGGCGAGACATTGTTCTCAAAGTGCTGTAGTGCCCAGAATGAGAAGTCATCGCCTTCGACGTTCGCCAGTGCCAAGTCGATGTCGGCGAGGGGGTCGCGGGGGTAGAGCAGAGACGGAGACAGCATCTCAACGCCGGCGCCCGATGACGGCTCCGCCTGGTCCCAGTTGACAAACTCGTCCATGGTTCCGGGACGCCGAGACGCTGACGGTAGGGCGTGCGGGAGGCAAAAGGGTGGACCAGCCTTTGTCAGGGGGTGAACTGTCAAGCTGTCAGACCAAGGGCGTAGAAGGAGGGTCTAAATGTATTCCATACAAATCACCAATCCCCTGGCGGTCAGCAGAAGAAAGGGGCTTAGTTCACAGTCTGATGGGGTGGGTTCATTCCCGTCTCCAGATGGCTGCTGTTGGCTTGTTGACTCGTTGTCTTGATGATGGACCTGTTCGGATGACTGATGGGGCCAAAGAGAATGACAGAAACAACGTGAGCCGGGCCGGCCAAGCTAGCGGGAAGTCTTTTTATTTCAATCATCCCCTCCATCCCATGCATTGGGCATGATGCGGTACAGATGGCATGCTGGCCGTCGAGTTCCACTTCCTTCAGTGGGCTTCTCAGTTGGAGTCATGGGTTGCGGGCTTGCGAGCAGTTGCAAGCCGTTAGGGATTGGCACGATTGGCAGGGTTGCAGAAAAGGTGGGAATGCGCCTTTCGGTTGACATGCGCTGAGCCAGGCGGGACCCAGGCATGCAGCCTCCTGCAGCCAAACCACCCCTGTCACCGCCCACGCGGCCGAGGAAGGAAGCCCCCGGCTACCCCGCCATCAGGGCCTGGGAGTGGGAGTGTCTCGCGGCGCACCACCTCCTCTGGCACCTTCCGTGTACGATTGCCCGAGAAAATTTGGTAGTTCGGAATAGCTCCGCCTATCGGACCCGCGGAGTTGGCATTGCGTAAGATCAACAAGCCAATCCAGCCGATGAGCAGATAAAGCCCCGGAGCGCCTCTTCTTTCCCCTTCGGTCGAGCACATCAACAAGGCGGGGCTTCGTTTCCATGCCCCATGATTTACTGATATTCAGGCCGCACCCGACGGGCCGACATGATGAGGCTTGCTGTCGGCTCCGTCCACACACCCGCCCTTCATCCC